GCAGCTGATGGTCTGGCTCAGGAGACAAGAAACTGGTGACACAATAAACAAAAAATTACTTAAATAGATGAAGACAGTGATAAGAGTTATCATAAGTCTAGATATCCTCCATTTTTAAAAACTTATGCAAACAAATGCTTGTATGATCGCAAATGAGTAAGATATGACTTCACATCAGTGTTCAACAGAACACTTTCCAAGGAGGGTTCATCTGCACAATATTCTGACTGATCGTGTACGCTTTAAGTAGGTGGAGAAGGCATTCCAGGCTGATGAACAGCTTAGGTAAAGGTCTGTAGGCTGGAGAGTGCAGAGGCCTGTCTGAAGTATGGCAAGAGAACGAGTTTGTCTGTAATACAAGCTCTTGTCAGAAGCAGCAGGTTAGGGCAGATTGAGAGTGGGGATTTAACTGGTAGGCAGTGCAAAGGATTCTCAAGGGGACAGGGGAGCCATGGGTTCAAACTGATGAGAACAGCAGGGATACACAAGATGAAGGTCTTTGGGGGCAAAGACCAGTTACAAAACTGTTGCAGGGATCCAAGTATAAAGTGACTTGGGTGGGTGTCAGAGNAGACCAGTTACAAAACTGTTGCAGGGATCCAAGTATAAAGTGACTTGGGTGGGTGTCAGAGGACACTGGGAAAAAAGGAAGAAATGAAGCAAACTAAGCTGTTAATAATATACAGTATTTGCTATTTGTGCTCCTGTGAACCTTGGAAGAAATCCCTGTACATGTTTTAGGCTCTGAGACTGGCATCCTGATCTCAGCTGTCCAGGTGCCTCCAGATCAAGATGCCTCCTGCACATCCCACCCGCCTGCTCCCCTCTGCCTTGGCTGACCCTTTGGGCCCTTAGATCCAGCTTATCTGCATGGACCCATTTTGAGCTGGTTCCCTGCATTCCGAGATCAACTTCCTCATCTGGACTTTAAATGTTTGAAGGACTGTCCTAGTATGAACTAATCCTTATTAGCTAAGACTCTTCTGGTCTATACCAGCTCCTGGTCTTGGTTTCTCCACCTAAGTTATAGACCCAACATAGTATGAACTTAAAAGAAGAGCCAGGGAAGTTTGTGAGAACCAGTAAATTTAGGGCTAACTACTACAGAAAATAAAGTAATACCAAAGATGCACAGATGTCTTGAAGTAACAGACAAGATAGGAAAATTTGTTTAGCAATAGTTTCTATATCTGTATATTTGATGTTTAAAAAGCTGATTCTACTGAGGTATAATTTGCATACCATCAAATTCACCCATTTTAAGTGTACAACTCAATGATTTTTAGTGAATTTACCAAATTGTTTGACCATCACCACCATCCAGTTATACATTTCCATCACCCCAAAAAGATTCCTCATAACACTTGCAGTCACTCCCAAGTGCCACTCCCAGGCCACCATTAATCTACATTGTCTCTGAAGATTTGTCTTTTCTTGACATTTTCTATAAATGGAACCATTTGATATGTGGTTTCTGGCATCTGCCTTCTTTCATTTAATGTTTTTGAGTTTTTTATAACACCCATATTTTAGTGATTTTAATGTTTAAAAAAGGTTTCATTTTATTTAAAAAATTCCAAATCCAGTAGNCCACCATTAATCTACATTGTCTCTGAAGATTTGTCTTTTCTTGACATTTTCTATAAATGGAACCATTTGATATGTGGTTTCTGGCATCTGCCTTCTTTCATTTAATGTTTTTGAGTTTTTTATAACACCCATATTTTAGTGATTTTAATGTTTAAAAAAGGTTTCATTTTATTTAAAAAATTCCAAATCCAGTAGCATAAAGATGTAATGAAAGTTGCTTTTTGCTCAAACATAAACCAGTCCATTGCCTCACAGAGAAAGGTAATGTGTGTTACAGAGAAACAAACACATGGGTGTGCCATGCGGGGAAGGCTTTCAGCCTCCCAATCCCCAAAGTACAGCTGTGAACCAAAGGAAAGAGGCCCAGCCCAGGCAGGCCTGTAGACCAGGACATGGCACTTTGTGAACATCAGTTTCCTTAGTTCTAGAATATGGTTGGGCTGGATCACTGCTGGCTCTTCACCTTCCTCAGCCTCCCTCCTCCTCACTTGCTCACTGCCAGCCCACCCCATCAGTACAGGGTGGGAGCAGAGCAAAAGTGCAGCTGTGCAAATGGCCCCCACAGGGTACAGAATCACCAGATGAGCTGGTTTCTTGGCTTCCTTTTAGCTCTATTTTGTGAATCTCAAGTCTAAAAGGAACTTTCCTCACATTGATTAAGCTTCCAGGGTTTCTCTTTGATGTGAAGACTTAATCTATGCTGAGGCCTGAACTGTACTAGTTGGTTTTCCTAGTTTGACCAAATTTGAAGTCATTCCAGTACAAATTCTCTATGTGTGAAAGGGTGGAACACCCACCAGAGGCTTTCCCACATATGTTATGTTCCCAGGGTTTGTAACTGGTAGGGAGAGTTCTCTGAGGTTTACAAAAGGATGAGGTTTGACTGAAGGCTCTCCGCATTCACCACATTTTTAAGGTTTTTCTCAAGTATTAGTTTTCTAATGCTTAATAAGGGGTGAACTCTGACTGAAGGCCACCCCACATCTTCTTTCACAGGGCTACTTTCTAGTGCGTATTTTTGATGCTTAGCAAGGGAAGAAGTATTACTGAAGCTTTTTCCATACTTAACCACAGTTGCAGAATTTCTCTCCAGTATGAGTTATTATTTTATTTTGTTTAAGGAACAGTATATGACTGAAGGGTGTGTCACACTCATTGCATTGATAAGACTTCTCCTCATATAAACTGTCTGATGTTAAGTAGCATGTGTCCTCTAACTAAAGCCTTTCTACGTTCATTACATTCACATGGTTTCTCACTAGTATAAATTCTCCGGTGTTTGGTAAGAGAGGGGTGTGACTGAATGCTCACCCTCTCATGACATTGGCAGGGCTTCTCTTTAGTGTGTGCTGTCTGATGTTAAACAAGATGTGTCCCCCACCAGAGGTCTCCCCACATACATTACACTAATAGGACCTCTCTCTGAGCTCACCCTCTCATGACATTGGCAGGGCTTCTCTTTAGTGTGTGCTGTCTGATGTTAAACAAAATGTGTCCCCCACCAGAGGTCTCCCCACATACATTACACTAATAGGACCTCTCTCTGCTAAGAATCCTCTGAGGCTTGGTGATGTGTATACTCCAGCTGAAAACACTTCTACACTCACTGCATTCATAGGGATTTTTTCCCAGTGTGACTTTTCTGATGCTTCATAAGGGTGGCAGTGTGAGCAAAGGCCCGTCCACATTCATTACATTTGTAGGGTTTCTCTCCAGTGTGAAATCTATAATGTTGAGTGAGAGATGAACTCTGGCTGAAGGCTCTCCCACATTTATTACATTTGTAGGGTTTCTCTCCAGTATGAAATCTATAATGTACAATGAGAGATGAACTCTGGCTGAAGGTTCTCCCACATTCCCTGCATTCGTAGGGCTTTTCTCCAGTATGAGTTCTCTGATGTTTAATAAGGGATGAAGTATGACCAAAGGCCCGTCCACATTCATTACATTTGTAGGGTTTCTCTCCAGTGTGAAATCTGTAATGTAGCACAAGAGATGAACTCTGGCTGAAGGCTCGCCCACATTCACTGCATTCGTAGGGCTTTTCTCCAGTATGAGTTCTCTGATGTTTAATAAGGGATGAAATATGACCAAAAGCCCGTCCACATTCACTGCATTGATATGGCTTTTCTCCAGTGTGACATCGCTGATGGCGTCTAAGTTCTGACTGGAAATGGAAGGACTTCCCACACTCATTACATTTGCAAGATTTCTTCCCCGGGTGGTTTCTATGAGAGTTATTTCTCTCTAAAGTCTGTCTGAATTCTGTATCCCATTTATAGGACTCTTCTCCCATGGGAACACTGTGTTGGTCAACAAGGACCGATGTTAAGCCTAAACTTCTCCCAAGTTCATTCCATTCGTGATCTCTCCTAAGGGTGACAGATTGGTGAGTGACTGTCATTTCTTTCAGGTGTCTCTCCTGTTTTATCTGCTGTGTCTCTAACTGATCATCACAACCACAGGTTGCTTTCAGTTTGGAGAACCAGAGCTTATCTCGAATGTGTTTTTCCACAGGTGTTACCTGGAATAATTCTTTCTTGGAAATTCCCTGACTTGGCGTTGATTCCTTGGCTTTAGGCCTTCTCTCCAAGTCTGTTAAAAAAGAAGAAAAAAAAAAGGCATCCTAGTATTACGTGTTCTATGCACCAAGAGGAAGTTAAACTACTATAATGGATTTAGATAATTAAGTTTTAAAATATCTAAAAAGGGTGTATAGATTCTTTCAAGAATTGCTTATGTCTGAAGAAGGTTGTGAAGATGTCAAGAACAAGTGATGAGCAGCTGACTGGAGATTAGGAAATCCTGAGAGAACTCAGGTTGGGTTTTCCTAATCTGGGATTCCAGTACCCAAGGTAACTCCAGAGACTGTCAAGATGAGAGGACGGCAGTAAGGGTGACACGGGAAACATACCAAGTATGAAGAAAAGGGACAAAAAGAAATAAAGTGTAGGGTTGGTAAGTCACCCAGGTGTAGACTTGACATCCGCACAATCTCTTCAGGCCTGGATATTTGTAACAGACTTCCATCCATTTCTCCCACCTCCAGTCTCTTTCCTGAAACCCCCCATCACTTCTTCTTCCTAAAATATCTCTTTCCTTATTTGTGTTTCTCTCCAGGTCTTAATCCCCAAAGTCTCTGCAGTTCCTACAGGACAAACCCTGAGTCTTTCACTCCAGCCCTACAATACTTAACCAGGGTCCTGTCCTCTTCTTCAGCAAGTACCTTTAGCACAGAAGCTGGCTGCCTGCCTATTTCCCATGTATACACATCCACTCTTACCCCACTCTTTCTCTAAGCCTTTAAACATCTTTCAGGGACAGGTCATGTCCTCCACAAAGTCTTCCCTCAACACCTCAGTCCACACTGTATATTATTACGTATTATAAACATATACATATAATGTATATCATATTACTGTACATAATTGTGGTAGGCAGAATAATTGTCCCCCAAAGATGTCCAGGCCCTAATCCCAAGAACCTGTGAAGAGGTTACCTTACATGGCAAAAAGGTCTTTGCAGATGTGATTAAGGGTACAGACCTTGAGAAGGAGAGATTATCCTGGATTATTCCAGTGGGCCCTATAATCACAAGTCCTTAAGTCAAAGAATATTTCCTGGCGGGGCAGAGAGATGCCGTGTGAGGAGGACTCCACACAACACTGTTTTTTTTTTTTTTTTTTTTTTTTTTTTTTTTTTT